CGTTGCCGCGGTGCTGATTGAGGGAGGTGACGGAGGTGGGGACACCGAAAGGTACTGATACTACTACTCCGCGGACCTCTCCCGGGGTTCGTTCTGACCAAGATTTCGAGGCGAATACAGCGGTGGTACCGAAGGCCCAGGAGGCCCAGAAAAGGGGAAAACGAGGGAAGGGCAACGGTATGGGTACCTTTTCCTCGCCAGAAGAGGAAACAGGGGTGGTGTTGCCTTGCCTTGTCGTGGACCGTGCTTGCTCGTTCCTCTGTGCTCCAACTTGCTGTGGCCGCCGTGCGCGGTTACGACTCACGCTGCGGCCGGCGTGGCCCCCAGAGCTTGCGCGAGAAAAAGAAAGGTGGACCAATACATAAACGACACCACACCCCACCTAGGGCCCCACGGGGCCTATCGTATACCAACCGATCTGGCGTGGGCTTTTGCGTGGTATACGCTACGGCCCCCGCTGGGCCGTATCGCAACATGGAGGGCCGTAGGCGGGGTGGTGTCGCTTGTGTTTCGGTCGTAGGGGAGGGAGTGAGGGAATGGCGAGCGTGGAGCTAGCGAGCCTCATGGAGCCTCCTCGGCAACGAGGGTCCGGAGCTCTAAGCACCGCAGGCTCCCGCCCGTGGGCGGAGCCAGGACCGCCAGTCTGCTCTCGGGCCGCCGCCCACGCCTGGCCGAGGGCTGCACGGAGGCGCGGCAGGCGCAGAGGGAGCCCGCCGCCACCCGTCACTGCACCGACCTTGCAGACGTGTTGCAGCGCATTTTTGCGCGGATTTCTGTCCATGCTGAACTTTCGAACGGCGAGTGAAAAACGACATGAATTTCGCGTGGATTTGCAGTCTTCATTCCTGGCCAAAGAAGATCCGCGCGAAATTCACCTCGAAATCTGGAACGAAATTATCCAGGACACTCCGGGCCCATCCTATCGTTTCCCGAACGAAATCCGCTCTGCGATGTTGGCGCCATGACACCTGTCACGCCTGAAGAGCAGGGTCGCAGCGGCTGCTGTGCCGAAGGTGACGGGTCGCAGCGCTATTGCGGGACTCCGCGGTCTTCACTCTGGGCGGCAGGCTGCGCCCGCAACCTGCGCGCAGAGGTCCGCCCTTCATCAGTGCAGCCTCGCGGCACCGCGAACAGTGGCCGCACAGTACGTCGCACATCGCTTGCTGCCTCTCTTGCGCCGAAGGTGGCCAAGCATCGCTTAACCGATCCCCATCCCCACTGGCGTGGCCCGGGCCCCACTGGCCGAGGTATCCCCCTAGATGGGGATATGGGCTGTTCCCTTCGGGTTTCGAGGGGGCTATCCCCAACTGGGGTGGTACGCTGGAGGGGCTGAGATACCATGGCCCGTTGGGGATAGGGATCGGATAAACGACAGTGAGTGATGGGCCCGCGCCACGGCGGGGCTCGAGGAGAAAGGATGTCACGCATCAAAACAGGGGCCATGCTGCAGCACTTCGCGACATGCGGCGGCGGACTGACGCACCTCTGCCTGGCGAACGCCTTACGCTCGTAAACGTCACCGGCCGCGTTGCCGGTCAGTCGAAGACCGAAGATCGAAATGATTGCATTAACGATTGCACATGCACAGCGACACATGTACACCGTGCCACCGCGATCCAATGCTGCGAAATACCCAGAGGCATTGAAGAGAAAGCCGTTAAGGCAGATGACGAATATTGTGCCACAAGGGGTCAATACCTGGCCAACCCACGGTCTCCAACCATCCCTTTTGTCAAGGGCTAATGCCCGCCTGGATGAGAAGCTATGCTGGAGAGATTGCTGTGCCCCAGATGTCTGTGCGTTGCTGCTTCACCCGCATGGATTGGCTCACGCTCGCAGCGAGGGAGAGAGAGAGAGAGAGTGTGTGTGAGAGAGAGAGTTATTAGTATATATAACAGGTATACATATATATATATATATAGAGAGAGAGAGATAATACGACAGAAATAAATGTAATGCGGGCCAGCAGGAGGATAAACAGGAATAATAGGATGATAATGTGGAAGAACGAGGACGAACAGCAGCAGCAGAAGCTGGAGTGAAAGGAACGGGATGAGCAGGAGGACCTAGGGAAGGCGGAGGAGGGGAAATGGGGGAGAGAGAGAGTGAGAGAGAGAGAGAGATCAAACCATAAAGCGTCGGAGAAAGGCGGCAGCATGGCTATAGGCTGATCCTCTATGTGGCCGCCTAGGTCAGGTGCCAACCAGAACTGGCAATTTCTGGTGCTCATCCCTGGACGTGGGGGACGCAGGCTTTCAGCTATCCACGGACAGCCGCTCATCAGTAGAGTGGTGGTCAAAGAGTATGGAAATAGCCTGCGCGTGCGTTGCCTCGCCATGAAAGGGAGATGAATAGAATACGTCAATAGTTTTCGGGGTGCGGGATCCGATATGGGGCGCATGCACGCATGCAATTGGAGTATGGAACAGGAAGGCCCCAATCCCTTCAATCAGCTCTAATCGCTTGCCGCCGCTCCCGCCGCTGCAGTCGGCAAGTGGTCCTGCGCGCGGAGCGGGAGTGGGCATCCCAACCCTGACATGCGTCGTGCACCCTGGCATCACCGAAGCAAGCGGCGTCTGCAACAGCGTGTGCGCGAGTGCTCGAACAACACAACCGACAAGGTACGAGACTGCGCGCGAACGGCGTAGCCAAGAGCCCTCATTGCGGCTGCCAGGAGAGTTGCGAACCCCCCCAGCCCCTTTCCGAGGTCGCCTGACTTCGGGCATCTTGCGCCCCGCGATGCGCGACGTACGACTACGTTCGCGCCCTCGCGCCGCATCCACGGGGACCGGGGGAAGACCAGCTCCCTGGTTCACACCGCAACGCTCGAGGCACGATTATCCTGGCGCCCCCGCGGGCGACCCGGCCCCTTCCTCCCGCCCCCCTCCTCAGGAGTCACACCATACGACTACTGTCTCCCATGTAACCTGTTGTGTTGTTGGTTTGCCTCTCCACACAGGGCTTCAAACACTTGTCCGTCACAGGTGTGAGATCAAAATCCGAGCGTTTTACATCATCGAAACAGCTCCCGCTGCAGCGATGGCCACATTTGCAGATCGGTGATCTGCATCAATCCTGTAGAAAGGCGCTGACGCCCAAACGCGGGACAGATTTCTGGATCCGACTCCTGCCCCGTCCTTACCGTCCACCTGCTCATGCTTCTCCTCCTGCTCTTCCTCCATCTCCAGAAGCCTTCTCCTCATCCTCCACATCATAGTTATGACCATGATTAGCCTTACTACTGCTATTATTGTTTTCAATGTGCAAGTGCCCCCCTCCTCGATTGTACAGCAAACGATGGGTCAGTTCTCGCATCTGACACTTGCGGATCACTGTCCTCTCAAGAGGCCTCAGTCGGCGGCTACGTAATGATCAAACGAAATGGGAATTGATGGGCAGGAGGGGTGTGGGAAGATCAAGTGTGGCGCGGGTGAGCTTAACTTGCCATTCTCCGTTTCCCCTCCCCCCTCCCTTCGCCACTGCCAGCGCGGCAATTCCGCGGCCTCCGACATCGACAGGGCTGCGAGGGATGAGCCCGCTTGCCTGCGTCTTCCTTCCAGTCCGCACAACCCTCACCGCCTCTCGCTGACGCACTTTCCTCCCCTTTGCCACTGCCCCTGGTTTGGAAATGCTGTCACACTTTTACCGAGGGGCTCCCTCGTCAGAGGGATGCTATATTAAGAAGGGGAAAGCCCAAAGCGCCTAGGGCCATGGCCCGCAGATGGAGACAGATGCCGAGATGAAATAGAAATGACGATGAGGGTGACTACGGATGACGATGACGGCAACGGTGACGTGAAAGCGACGGTGATGGACGTCTCCCACTACATCGCTACCGAACATGCTCCAGTACGTAAGAACAATGTGTGGCACAGCATATCCCTTAGTGTGACTGCCGACGGTGATAGTGACGGCGGTGCTGGCGATGATTCTGCCGCGCACCGTGGCTAATGCCTTCTTCCAGTGACGTGCGGCACACATCGTGGCGCTTGGGGTGTAAATTATGGACCCCGAATCATCCCATCCCATCTCCCCATTCAACCCACCACTCCCATGGCCTCCCGATCATCTTCCCCGACCCTTACCCGTCGGTTGGAAGAAGCGGGTAGAAGCACAAGTAGGAAGGCGTTGGAAGTAGATTGGGCTTCCGCCCGCCCCGTGAAGAGGAACGACGCGTGGAAACCACTCGGTAATTTGAGTACGAAGGCGCCAAACGTAACTTTGGATCTGGGGGTCCACAACCATTATCCTGGCGAAAGACCCAACCATGCGCAAATGTGGGTACCGCGTTGTGGGTGCCGCTTTCGGTGGAGCTCCATATGGGGCCACGAACCGTGTGCGGCGTGTGCCAACCTCGGCGTCGGGCGCATGCTGCCTGTGCCACTGGGACATTCGGTGGAACTCCCTGTGGGGCCACCAGCCGTGTGAGGCGTGTGCCAAAATCGGCGTCGGTCCCCGCATGCTGCCTGTGCCACTGGGCCATTCGGTGAAACCCCCTGTGGTACCACAATCCTCGTGAGGGGTGTGCCAAAACGGGTGACTGTCCCCGCATGCTGGCCCTGCCACTGGAGCCTTCGGTGTAACTCGCTGTTGGGCCACGAACTGTGTGAGGGGTGCGCCAAAATGGGTGGCGGTCCTCGCATGCGGACCCTGCCGCTAAGGCCGTCGGTGGAGCTCCCTGTTGGGCCACGAACCCTGTTGGGCCACGAACCGTGTGAGGGGTTTACCGAACTATGTGGCGGTTCCTGCACGCTGACCCTGCCGCTGGCGCCTTCGGTGGAGCTCCCTGTGGTGCCACAATTCTCGTGAGGGGTGTGCCAAAATGGGTGGCGGTCCCCGCATGCTGACCATGCCGCTGGGGCCTTCGGTGGAGCTCCCTGTGGGACCACAATCCTAGTGAGGGGTGTGCCAAACTAGGTAGCAATCCCATCATGCTGACGCTGCCACTGGGCCTTCGGTGGGACTCCCTGTTGGGCCACCAACTGTGTGAGGGGTGTGCCAAAATATGTGGCGGTCCCCGCATGCGGACCCTGCCGCTGGGGCCTTCGGTGGGACTCTCTGTGGGGCCACGATCCGTGCGAAAGGTGTCCCAACATGGGCCCTGCCACTGGGGCCGTCAATGGAGCCCCCGGTGGGGCCACGAACCATGTGAAACATGTGCCAAAATGACTGACGGCCCCCGCATGCGGACCCTGCCGCTGGGGCCTGCGGTGGAACTCCCTGTGAGGCCACGGGCCGTGTGAACAATGTGTGCTAAAACGGGTGGCTGTCCCCACATGCGGACCCTGCCGCTGGGGCCTTCGGTGGAGCTCCCTGTGAGGCCACGAGCCGTTTGAAAAGTGTGCCGCAATGGGTGGCGGCCCCCGCATGCGGACCCTGTCGCTGGTGCCTTCGGTGGAGCTCCTTGTGGGGTCACTGACCGTGTGAAAGCTATGCCAAAATGGGTGGCGGTCCCCGCATGCGGACCCTGCCACTGGGGCCCTCGGTGGAGCCCCCTGCGGGGCCACGAACAATGTGAAACATGTGCCACAATGGGTGTCAGCAACCGCATGCGGACCCTGCCGCTGGGGCCTTCGGTGGGGCCCTCTGTGAAGCCAGGAACCGTGTGAAGGCTGCATAAATGCATGCTGACCCTGTCACTAGTGCATTCGGTGGAACTCTCTGTGGGGCCACGGACCGTTTGAAGGTGTGCCAACATGGGTGGCGGTCCCCGCATGCGGACCCTGCCGCTGGGGCCTTCGGTGGAACTCCCTGTGGGGCCACGAACCGTGTGAAAACTATGCCAAAATGTGTGGCGGTCCTCGCATTCGCATGCGGACCCTGCCACTGGGGCATTCGGTGGAACCCCCTGTTGGGCCACGAACCGTGTGAAAAGTATGCCAACATGGGTGTCGGATCTGGTGCCTTCGGTGGGGCTCTCTGTGTGGCCACGAACCGTGTGAAAAGTGTGCCGACATGGGTGGCTGTCCCCGCATGCGGGACCTGACACTGTGGCTTTCGGTGGGACTCCCTGTGGGGCCACGAATCGTGTGAAACATGTGGCGACATGTGTTGCGGTCCCCGCATGCGGACCCTGCCGCTGGGGCCTTCGGTGGAACTCCCTGTTGGGCCACGAACCGTGTGAAGGGTGCGCCAAACTGGGTGGCGGTCATCGCATGCGGACCCTGCCACTGGGACATTCGGTGGAGCTCTCTGCGAAACCACGAACAATGTGAGGGGTGTGCCAAAATGGGTGGCGGTCCCCGCATGCGGGCCCTGCCGCTGGGGCCGTCGGTGGAACTCCCTGTGGGTCAACAAACCGTTTGACGGATGTGCCAAACTGGGTGGCGGTCCCCGCATGCGGACCCTGCTACTGTGGCTTTCGGTGGAACCCCCTGTGGGGCCACGAACCGTGTGAAAACTGTGCCGACATGTGTTGCGGTCCCCGCATGCGGACCCTGCCACTGGGGCCCTCGGTGAAGCCCCCTGTAAGGCCACAAACCGCGTGAAGGGGTGTGCCACAATGGGTGGCGGTCCCCGCATGCTGGCCCTGCCGCTGGGGCCTTCGGTGGAGCTCCCTGTGGGGCCACGAACCGTGTGAGGGGTGTGCCACAATGAGTGGCGGCTCCCGCATGCGGACCATGCCATTGGCGCCTTCGGTGGGGCTCCCTGTTGGGGCACGAACCGCGTGAAAGGTGTGCCAAAATGGGTGGCGGTCCCCGAATGCGGGCCCTGCCGCTGGGGCCTTCGGTGGGGCTCCCTGCGGGGCCACGAACCGTGTGCAGGGCTGTGCCAAAATGAGTGGCGGTCCCCGCATACGGGCCCTGCCGCTGGGGCCTTCGGTGGAGATCCCTGTGGGGCCACGAACCGCGTGAGGGGGAGGAGGAGGAGGAGGAGGAGGAGGAGGAGGAGGAGGAGGAGGAGGAGGAGGAGGAGGAGGAGGGGGATGAGGAGGAGGAGGAGGAGGAGGAGGAGGAGGAGGAGGAGGAGGACCAGTGGAAACCCAAGAGTCATCAAAGATGTTGGAGTTAACCCTCCCTCCAAGCTCCCTCTTCACAGGCCCCATACAACGGTTCATTTCCATTGAGGGAAGTGCCTCGTTGGAAGAGAGCAGTTTGAAGATCCTGAAGCGTGCCAAAACATTGTCCTTGGGATTTCAACGCCACACCGGACTGCTGCGTCTTGACGATCCAAAACCGTGCCAAAACGCCATTATTACCCCTTCAATTCAGCGAATTAACATAACTGTTGCGTCCACATAACCTTGAACCCTTCCCAAATAGACTTTCGGGTACGTTGACCATGGATCAAAAAAGATATTGAAACGCAAGGGCCGGCCCCAAGGGCGACTTCAAAATCGAGACGGGTTGCGACAGATGAGCGCGCGGAGACATTCGCGGAGCACCTCAGCAATATCCAGTGGTACGTGCGCCCTACCACTGTTACGCCAGACACAGACGATGCGATATACACGGCCTCGAACGTGAATTTAAATCGCTTTACGGATGCAGAATTACGTCG